ATATGCATGGGAACTAGCACACGGAATCAACAACTGGGATCTCATCCTATGAAAAAGCTTCTGCACTGCAAGAGAAACCACAACAGAGCTAAGAGACAACCTACAATGTGGGAAAAAAATTTTGCCAGCTGTTTCTCAGACAAAGGTCTACAATATATAAAGAACTTAAAAAAAATCAGACCCCCCCCCCCAAATTTAAAGACCTAATTCCAAAATGGGCATCTGAAATGAGCAAACATTTCTCAGGCAAGGAAGTAAAAGCAGCAAATAAACATATGAAAAAATGTTCAACATCACTGATCATTCAAGAGATGCAAATGAAAATAACACTGAGATTCCACCTCACTTCAGAAAGAATGGTGGCTATCAAGAAATTAACGATAACAAATGCAGCAGGGTTGTGGGGAGAAAGGAACCCTTCTCCATTGCTGGTGGGAGTGTAGACTGGTGCAACCACTGTGGAAATCAGTATGGAGATACCTCAAAAAACTAGGATTAGAGGTCCCATTTGACCCAGCCATTCCCCTGCTGTGTATCTTCCTAAAAGAATTAAAAGAATCATACCACAACAATATATACACACTCGTGTTTATAGCGGCACAGTTTGTAATAGCTTAAAGTTGGAAACAGCCCAGTTGCCCATCAACTGGAGACTGGATGAAGAGATTTAAAAAACAAAATAAAATGGAGTACTACTCAGCCATAAAGAGTGAGAAACTAGAGACATTTATACCTAAATGAATGCGCATTGAGGCCATGAAATAAATAGGACACACATGTGTAAATACCAAATAATTTCTCTGGTGTGAGAAACTGAAAGTGTAAATAAAAATCAAAATGTATAATAGATGATGTGAAACAGGAAGAAAAGATGGTCTAAAGGGGAAGGGGAAGAGGGAGTGGGAGGAGTAGGGGAAAAGAAAGAAGGGAAAGGAAAAAATATGAGAAAAGGAAAAAATGGAAACAAAGTCTTTGTAAATAGGAAGGGTGGAGGGGGTGAAGGGAGGGCAGGGGCATGGGAGAAAAAAAAAGAACCAAGAGAGATTATGTAAAGGTACAAATTCTCAATGATATTGTATACCTAAAATGTACCAATGAACTTAATGAAAAATAAATAAATTGAAAGATAAGCTAGAAAAGTTGGATTTTCCAACAGATCAGCCAATCTAAACTGAGTAGCAGATGTTCCCTTTAGAAGACGTGTATTCTCCAGTAGACTATGGCTAATGTCCAGCGCTCTCTACTTCATGAGCTTGGCCCTTTGGAGACTCAGAAGTTCCCAACCCATTCTCTAAGCCTTTCCAGCTTATAGTGTGTTCTAATGACTGGGAGCTTGTTAGATTTATAGGGGCCTAAAGGCTCCACCCCAAACCTACTGCATTGGAAATTTCACCTTAATAAGATCCTTGGTGATATTTCCACACAATGAAGTTTGAGAAGCACTGCTACACACCACAGAGCAGAGGTGGTGAACCTATGGCACACATGCTACAGCTGGCTGTTTGTTATTACTGAAAGCTCTAAAAGGTTTGTCAACACTGCCATACAGTATTATCCCTGGTTAAGGTGAACATGGGGGTCATCTGAGGAGTTTCTGCTTGTTTTTTTTTTTTTTTTTTGGTACCAGGGATCGAACTCGGGACCTTGCACTTGCGCGGCAGGCACTGGAACCACTGAGCTAAATCCCTGGCCCACTTGTTTGCTTTATATGCATATCCTGGGGCCTATCTGGATTTACTGAAATCAGAGTTCCTGGGATCCAGAGTCCAAGGTGTCACATTAATGCTAGTGACAGAATTTTCCTATGCACACTTGAGAAATATGAGTTTCAGTTTAACAGAAGAAAGCTAATTCTGTCATCCTATTGGAGTCCTCAAAACAAATTTTACCAATCACGACAATTGCCAGCACATGATATGAATACACTTAATGATGAAATTCTGCCCTTTGGATTGTAATGAATTTGGGAGGTACATGGCAGTGGTTTGAAGGGGTATGTGGCAGAATATGTCATATTCATACGACCTGAACAGTTTCAAAGAACAGACTTTCTTTGTTACAAGTCTTATTGCTTTGCAGTGAAGCTGCGTGATTCTAGAAATTGTGACAATAATAGCATACTTTGGCTTTCTCTTAGAGAAGTCCTTAATTCATCCTTGCCTCCGTGGGTTTCTTTTTTCTTAGCATGTCCTCAGACCTCCTACTAATTATTTGTTAAATTACTTCTCCAGGTCTGCTAGTTGCTTCTTAGGTGCTCTAAGTGATTTAATCTGCTAATCTGTGGTCAGATCATCCCTCCTCTGCAGTTTACTTGATCAAGTATCATAGCTCTCAAATTAAAAATTTCCAGTCTCATTCTTTTTTTATATAAGATTCTAGTATATATCACAATTATATTATTTGCACTTAATTTTCAAGTTACTTTCAACTAATTTTCTTTAACCTAATTATTCATTAGGTAGACTTTTCATGTAACTTGTTTGGCAGTGATCATTTTCTCTAGTTATAAAACATCACTTCCTCTCACTTCAATGGTGTAAAATGAACATCTCTTGAAAAGTTTTGATGTTTCATTGTAATGTACCTAACACTTTATCAGTTATTGGGCACTTTGGATCCCATTGCTTCATTCACAGTGAGTAGAAGTCACTCTAGATCAGCGATCAGGACTGTAGGTCTGATCTGTGGACCTGCGGGTTGGGGTCACTTGAGGGCTTGTTAGGCACAGGGCCCTGCTCCCAACCCACTGAGTAACAGGATGTCCCCGCAGGTGATTTGTGTGCATGTTAAAGTGTGAGAAGCTCTGGACTAGATGGTTTACTTGTCACCTCTAGCGTTGTGATGGTGTTGGAAATAAGGTACAGAAAATATCTTTACCATCTGCTCCATTTCTGCTGTTTTCTTCTTAAATTCCTTTTTCGTGAAGATCCTACCTTCTTTTGATTGTCTTCTTTTTTCTTCAGCTCTTACTGTCAGTCTTTCAGGCAGCCTTCATTAGCCACACAAAGCATGCATGCCTCAGGGACCTAGCTTGTTTCCTCCACTTTTTCATGGTTAATATTTTATTTAGGATGATCTGTTTCAGCATTCAGATCTCTTCTTGGCATCTGCCTGTTACCAGCCTGGATTTGGAGCTATCTGAGTCTGTTTCTTTGGAAGTGCTATTTCTTACTTTTGGCTGTGTGTTAGAATCACCTGGTGAGATGTGAAACAGATTAATACCTTGGTTTCATCCCAGATTAATTAAATCAGAGTCTAGGTGTTGACTTTGGGCATCAATATTTAAGTCAGTTGTTGAGGGTAGGATGTGGGTGAGTCTGTGGTCCAGTCATGCTCCTGCCATCTTGTTTATTCATCATCTGCCCATCCATCCATCTCTTCATCCATATACATTCATCCGCAATTCCACCCTACAAACATTTCATGAGTTTCTTACTGGGTTCTGCCCAAATTTCTAAGTTCCAAGTTTTTCAACTTCAGCATTATTGATGTTTCTAAGTTAGGGTCCTGTCCTGTGCACTATAGGAAACTAAACAGAATCTCTAGCTTCTACTCAGCAAATGACATTACTGCCTCCTGCAGTTAGAACAAATGAAAATGCATATCTCCAAATATTTCTAAATGTTCCCTGGGGGCCAAAAATTTCCCCAGTTGAGGACAGTTGCTCTAGGATGTAAAATGAGTAGAGCATAATCTCTGTTGTAAACATTTCCAGAGTCTATTGATGAAGGCAGGCACTTAAATAATTCTAGTATAGTGGGACAAGTATAGTGAGAGCTTCAAGACTTGGAGGATGATAGGGATGCTGGGGAAATGGAGGGTGGCATTGAAGCAGAGCCTGCAGAGATGAGTGGTCATTCTTTGGGTGGGCAGATGGAGCACTCTGCAGAGAAGGAATTCCTCTCCAGACCTGGGGCTTTGTTCTGTTGGCTCTTATCTCACCTAGGGAGTACCGTGGTCTCCTCGTCTGCCTCAGCTCCCTTTACAGCCCTATTGCATTTTCTTTTCCATGTCTTGATACTAACAGTACTTTTCTCACTTTGTTCTCTGAAACTCTGAGTCATCTGGCTTTAATTATTCAGTTGATTCTTTTATTTTTTAGTAGTGACATTCAGATATAACAATATCTGTGCTGGCCTCTTGTGCTGGGCTTTTATACTTTGCATAATGTTTCTAAGATTTATGTTGAAATCTTGAAATGTAGCATGTATCAGTACTGTTTATTTTTATTATTCAATAATATTCTGTTTATGGACATACCCTCTTTTATTTATGTGTTCATTAGCTGATGAATGTTTGGGTTGTTCCACTTTTTCACTATTACCTATGTTAATGTGATTATTTGTGTACTACAAGTTTTTGTATAGGTATATGTTTGCATTTCTCTTAGGGATTTACCTCAGGAATGGAATTGCCATGTCTATTATAACCTTTTGGTCAACTGCCAGACTGTTTTCCAGAGATATTATACCATTTTACATTTCACAAATTTCTCCTGCTACTTTTTATTGTTTTCTTTTATTGCATTCTGTTGTCAGTTCTGCCTTTTCTATTAACTTTCTCACTAAGGGTAGAAAAATATTGCCATTCCACTTCTCTTAGTGTCTCAAGACAAAAATGTCAGTCAGTTGCTATCTACCCTACCTGTAGCATTTGTTTTTGGTTTCACTTTACTTTCTAGAAACTCAATTGAAAGCAAAGCAAAGAAAATGAATTCTGTCTCTAAATCCACAGTCATTTTCACCCTCAAGACTCAAGACGTTCTCTCTGAGCTACTGAGTTCAATGAGGACAGACATCTTATATTTTGAATTTACTTATAAACTTCATGTGCAGTTTGTGGAATTTATGTGCATTTGTTGAATGATGATTCAACAAATAGTAACCAAGCATATGATTATTGTATTTGCATAAAAAGATGTAAGGTTTAATAAATTGAATTATTTTTCTTAATTATGTACAAATTTCTGATTGTTTAATAACTATTATTTTTATATGCAGATAAACAGGAGATGAAAGAGGTGATGGAAGAATGTAAAGAATCTTAAGCAAGGACTTACTAGGGTGTGCTCTTAAGAAAGTTGGTAATTAAGTAAAATTACTTATTTTCTCTGAATTCTTTCAATTCAATGAATACTGTAGAGGCTATTCTCCAAATAATGAGTTTGACATTTGAATTCTCTTGTAGATTACATTTCCTTGATATTTTTGAGACCTGGGGTGTAATTGTTCAATGGTTTTTCTTTATTGAAGTTTCTGGGAAATTTATAAATGTATCACTAATCTTAGAGAATCAGGGATACATTGTGAAAATTAACATTTTAATATATATGCATTATGTTAAGCATAGTGGAAATGGACTGATTGTCCTGTATTTGATTTTATATGTTTCAACTTTATTGTGATTCAGATTATGGTCGCTATGGATTTTTGTTCTGGCCTGTTTTTCCTTCTTTCTGTCTGTTCAGTGTCTGTTGGTACAACTTAACCATGGGGAGAAATGAACTTCCTCAACAAGGTGGCATTAGGGAAGCCTGTATTCCCTTGTTAGTGATAATTCTTATTCAAGTAGAAATGTGATGAATTATTTGATACATTACTCTGTTTGTTTTGTTCTTTCAGTTAGGGCCTTTTAGAACACAGCAAACAAAGATGAACTACTTTTTAAGAAAAATCTGTAATATTAAAGAGAGGTTTGTTTAATTATATGTCAGTAACGTGAATTCATAAGAACATTTTATATCAACACTTCTTAAGATGAATTGACCTTTTTAACCAAAAGTCAAAAGTATTTCCACTTTGAAAAATGAGCTGGCTATTGTACTGCCTTTAATAAAATTTGGGGCAATATATATGTGTATTGTTAATATTTGCTGACACATGCTCATCTACTGATACTGGATAATAATGTTTCCTTACTTCATTGTACTCCCTGGCCTGTTAGAATGAAGAATTCTATAGCTACTATTTTCGGAGGTATCAGTAGGCAGTGTCTTTTGCTGGCCTTCATATTTCAGTTTACTCTTTGTTCATTTAAAATACCAGTGGTTTGTACTGATGCCAGTGTGCTGCAGTGTAACTTATCTTGGCATCAAAAGTTTTGCTGTGGGATTTCTGCAGAAGCTAAAAGTTGTGATTTTAGGAATAACATGTGGCACTGCTAGGTGTGGAAGGGTTTGGGTCGAGGTGACATGGACAGGAATTTGGAGTAAGAGAAAAACCATTGTTGCCCATCAGCTTTTCAGATGAGCTCAGTTTTCTAAACCCATATGTTCCTTGTATTTGATGTAGGAGGAGTGGGGGAAGGAAGAGAAACAAAATATTTCTCCACGGACACTGCAAAGGGCTTGCCACTTTATCGTGTGCTTCTGCAAATGGTATTTGGGGCACAGCGAGCCTTTCTGTCATAGTATTTTTGGTAAGGGGAAGGCAGCCTTAGTGCTGTTGAGTAATGAATTTTGTCAATAAAATAAGTTGTACCATTGCATAGCATGTTAACTGAAACTAACTGGTAAACTGAATTTGTGATAAAATTCAAAATGAAGTCTCCAGATTTACAAACAAAGCCCCAAACACCCTCATTTAGATAGAAGGGTTTCTTATTAAAAATAACTTTTTATATTGAGGTTCCTCCTTGGCCCATGTATTTGCCCCAGAACAAGAATGAAAAGTACTATATAGAAGAGAAAGAAAGAACTAAGTTCTGGGAGTGAATTTGGGAGCTTACACTGCAGTTTTTCTATATACGACTCTTCAAAAAAAACTACTGGCACCAGCTCAGTTGTAAATTCCGAGGTACCTAAAGTTTATCACTCTTCCATCTAACTCTACTTGTAGGTCAGTTTCAGAGTAGAAATGGAACATGCCTGGGGAGGAAAGCTCCTCTCCTCAGCCACTTTTTCTGTCTCATCTTGATATTCACAAACCTGTTTTGATGTACTACTTAATTAGAATTCTGTTCTGAGAAAGGATGATGTCATGTTTCAGATAATTATTCTTTCAGATAAATTTCCATAATTGCACAACTATTTCTAGCTCATTCTTCCTCAGCTTGGCCCTGTAAAATGCTTTGACAGTTCACATTTATATGTGATCATGCTACCCAGGTTGATATTTTTAGAACCAGAGAGATAAGTCAACAAGGAAGTTTATCTCATTCAGCCAGTCCTTTCTGGTGTCTAACAGACCTCAAAGCCAGACCTTTAACCTACATGACAAAAGTTCTTCTTTGATCTTTTTTTTATTAAAACTGGAAATTATTTGCTATTTCACATTCATAATTGGTCCATCCAAAACTTAAGAGTCTGCTTATTATAACATTTTGGCCTTTTCTTCACAAAATGTGTTACACCACACACTTGCACACACACACACAGATACACTCGCACACTCCTTCCAAAATTTACATTTCTTTTTAGGCATCTGTTTTTGACTAAAGCTATTATTAATTCTCCAAAAGGCAGTAATACTTGGCTCCCCTTTTCAAGGACAGCTTCCCCCAGTCACACTTCCTGTTGAGGCTGCTGCATCTCTGACCATGCTGCCCACTGGGTGCCGTCATCCACAGGTCAGACGGGGGCTGCAAGTTACATGTGCATCAAGCTGCTCTTCCCTGTTTTCCTTGTTCTAGAAATGGAACTGGACTTTGAGAAAGGTTCAATATACGAAACCTGACATTAATAAAAAATTGTTTTCTGGGGGGCCCGCAATTTAGGGGCCATTTCTTTTTTGTATGTTGTTAATATGACAGACTTGTTTTGTTCTTTTGTTCCACAAATCTAGGAAATGTATATTCTAAGCCTACTCTTATGCAACTCAGCTTTCTAAATCATATAGGAACAGTGAATGTTAGTATTATTCACTGTGATTTCATCTTGTGTGTGCTGTTGGTTTAAGAATGGTATTTACCCACGCCATTAATAATATAGAGCCAGTGGAGAAGAAATAGACACATGGATACAGTAAGTATAAATATAAATTTCCATATGATTTATTTTTGTTGCTTGTACATAAGAAACAGTAATATACAAGTTACACTGCTTCAGAATGTAAAATGGATAAAAATGTGTATAAAAAAAAGCACATTTCTAGAGAAAGGTATTGGCAAATAGTAAAAACTGGGGAGTAAAAGCGAAAAACAAATCAAAACAAAACAAAAACCAACAATTCTTCAATTCAGTGTGCAAACATATAAAAATAGAAATACTAACTCTACAGGCAGTATTTCCTGATAAATTATTTAAATAGCATATCTACACAATCTGAGATATCTATTCCAATGGCAATGAGAAAATAATTTACAAAAATAAAGCAATGGTATACAAGATTGTAGAAAAAACATAACTTTCAGAAACTAACATTTCAATGCTATTTCCTTATGGGAATATGTTTTTGCAAAGAATTTTTTACTATATACAACATTAACTTCTTTAGGTACTACAGTAGCTATTAATTTGTTAGACACTAAAACTTTTTCTGCTTGATCCAAAAATTTCATACTCAGTCACACAAGAAATGAGGTAATATTTGTATGTAAGTTTCACCTTTGTCATTTTTTTCTCTTTTGGAAAAATGAAAAAAATAGGTGTATATACTTTTCTTCTCCCTGGAAATAGGTGCAAGGCTATGGGGTAAAATAGTATTAAAGATCTGATGGCTTTCTTTGCAATCTAAAACATTTGAAAATGGACAACCAATTCCACTTGAAAAGACAAAACAAAAAAAATTCCAAATCATTCACTCTAAGCACAAAGTGAAAAGCAGTTTCTTATGAGATTTGCTGATAAAGCTCAGCTACCTGCTCACTTTCCATATGAAATCTAATTCCAGGTAGAACAGAGTTAATAAATAATCTGTATTTACAATCTTACAGTCATGAAGACTTCTAACAAAGATGATATGGATAGCCCTTACGCTTCTTCCCGTTCTGCAATAATCCTTCAGACAGATCCTCCAGAGTAGGTAAAAAATAAATATTTTACATTGTAAAGCATTTATATAAAACAAAACGAAAACAAGAACAGACCAAAAAAAAAATACAGTCCAAAAGACAGAATTGGAAAACTCCATGGTAATTCAGGTACAAAGAGAGAAAAGGAATGTTTTAGTTAAGTTGATAAGAATTTTGTGCCTTTCTAACCATAAAAATATAAGCGCAGCTGCCCCTCCCTGGGGAGGCAGCTGGAGCTCACTGAGATGGTAGGTTTTGCTCTTCTCTTGCTCCATCTGCACAAGGTACACCTGGAGGAAAACCACCAATTTCCATGTGGCCAGGCCAGGCCAGGCCAGGCCAGACTGCCTAGAGCTTCTGACTCCCCATCCTGGCCACCACAGTTGATGTATAAGGGGTGGGGATGGGGAGGACATCAGAAGCCAGGCTTCCCCTGCCTTCCCTGTTTCAATTTAAGTGCCTATTTATGTGGGCTAATCAGCTAACACTGGTCAGCATCATGAAATCCAGCAATAGTCTTTCAGTCCCCTGAAAATGATTTGGTACCAACATGTAACAGTTCCTCCGCATTTTTTCCGTACAGTGGCCTCTTGGGTGTGCACCCTCTCCTTAGCGCCTTGGCCCCTGGTCCCTTTTCCTGAGGGAGTGTGTCAGGGCTGGTTTTGTTTGCTAATTCTGGTAAGTCCTCCCTTCTCTTGCATGCCTGAAAATGCTTCTGAGTCCACTGCTCAGAGATGGCCCCACAAGAGCACCCAAAGCAAAGTGGAGTGGGCAGGTTTCCAATGGAAGCAAGTAGACACTTTTGCTTTCCCGAAAGCAAACCAGTCACTGTTTATATTCTTGGAAGGTATCTTCTCATTCATTGGAGGCTGAATGCCAAGTCTGTTTGAAAACTGCATTTTCTTGAGGCAGATATGTTTTAGGAATCCACACTGATGCAAGCAGAGAAAAGAGGAAGGCAAGGAGAAGTGATCCTGGGGGTTTCTCAAGCTGTTTGTTCCAGAAGGCGCAAAACCAGCATTGGTTATGACCAGTACTCTGATCGACAGTTTGATGATTAGGAATCTGTTAAATAAATATATAAAAATAAATAAATGCACATATGAAAATGAGCTAATAAGGGCACACTCATCTTAGAAAATTAACGACCCAGGGATAGCTCTACTTTTGTAGTGATGAAGGCGTAATTTAAGATTGTTCAAACACATTACGATCTCATTTCTTGAAGCTGACTTTAACAATAGGATGAAGACACAGCACAACCTTTCAGAAAGAGTATTATGCTTTCTAAGGGCTTCAGTGTTAAAGTTTAGGGAATTTTATTTTAAAAATTGATGTTGAAAAGTTATGTCCTAAGTTAAATATTTTTTGAATAGCATCAACCATCTTTCTTTACTCTTGCTGTGTTTGGTCTGGATGGCCAGTGCTTTCATCTGGTAGGCTGAGCCTTGGCTACGTATTGAGCACTTACTTTGTGGTAGGGCTAATGCTGGACTCAGAATTTAAGTAATCAATGGGTGGGAAAAAAGGGAAGAGAAAAGCTAAAGTTAACTAAGTGACCCCTTCAACACAGGGAAAGGGTAAGAAAGACAACTTGTGTTGTGATGGCTTTTTACAAAATGGTAGGCAGAGTGTGAGATACAAACATAAACAAAAAAATTTTACAGAAAAGTATTGTTAACAACGTCTCAACTGTATAACTACTTGTCTGCCATTTACTTATGCACTATGCAGAAGAACACTGAGAAGAGACTGTAAGGAATTTGCTTACACAAATTAACACTGTAAGTAAGGACTCAGGATTTCTTTAGCCACAGTGCATAGGCATTATCTCACTTTTAGCACTGTCTTCAAAAGCAAAATGTAAATAACCCTGACTCTAAAATAGTCTTTGTGTGTGTGTGTGTAGGGGGGCGGTATAGGGGATTAAACTCAGGGCTTTCACAATGAACTACATCCCCAGTTCTTGGTATTTTTAATTTTGCAACAAGGTCTTAACTAAATTGCTAAGTTGCCTAGGTGGGACGTGAACTTGTGATCCTCCTGCCTCAGCCTCCAGAGCTAAAATGGACTTTACATCAGTCTCCTTTACTTGTCATCCTCACTATTCATCTGAATTAGAGATGTCAACTCCATATTCAATGCAATATTGTCCTACCTCTGCATTCATATTTCAGGTCAGAGAAGAACACCATTTCTTGAGAGAAGACAAATAATCCTAGTCTCCCACCAGCATAGGTTTTATCATAGATGGGTCCTGAGTCCGCCATGATTTTCTTCCCTTCATACATCACCACTCTGCAGGGAAAAACAAAACCTCATGAACAACACTGGTACCCTGTGGTCTTCTCCTTTTTTTGCCCATCAGCATGCCTGTAAGTAAAATCAAATCAGTCCAACCTTACCTGATGAAACCTGTCTTCGGCCTGTGGCTGAGACGCCATCTGTAGGCGGTGAAATCTTTCCAGCCTATGTGACGAGGGTCATGCCACAGGGTGCGCACCTGAAGAAAAAAGAAAAGGAGGGGTTGAAATATAGTCCCATTGGGGGAAGATTTAGATTTCTTTCTGGAAGGAATGGTGGTTCAAAGGCGCTGTGTTGACCTAGATTAGAGGGCTGCCATGTCAGCTTTTCCCCAAGCCTTCTGCCATTTGCTGTGTGCCACTGAATGAATATAAAGCAGCAGGGAGGGAAGGGAAAGGAGTTTTTGTTCGAAGAGACTGAAGCTGCTTTCAGATTTGAAGGGTAACTTGTGGTCACAGTGAGCTCCCCTCTCACACAATATTAAGTTTTTACAAAGCAGTGCTTAAAGCTGCTGGAGGTGATGTGCACATCTAAGGCTCCCTGTTGGGAATCTTGGCCAAAGCAATGTCCCCAACATCCATAGAAACCCATCCCTCATCCCTTTCAAAGGGGGCTGCTGGGTACCTGGCCGGGGGTGTTGCCTGTGTGCCACAGGGCATTACGCAGGTGCTCGCCGGGTCCCGTGGTGGAGTTCACGACTTTCACAGAAAGGCCAGAGTAACCCTGGGCTCTGGTGGGGTTGGTGTCCCAGTAGGACTGAGTGACTTGCTTCCACATGACGACGTAGAAGCGGCTGCTGGACTGGTATCCGAACACAAAACCGGCGTAGTCATCATCCCTTTCAGTGTTGATGAAGAAGGTGCCACTGAAGTCCACAGCATTAAACTCATCAAAACCTGGAAAACGAGGCCAGGGCAAGGGGAAACACTTTAGAAGGTTTCTCGTTGTATTTCTGGACATCTTTAGCACCTACAGGGACAGGTACAACCGCCAGGTTTTCTATCTGCTTCTTTCCGTGTGTGCATTTGCCTTTGATCAAAGGGCTTACTCACCTATAGCAAGTCCAGGATCACAGTTGACAGTCTGGACAAGTTCTTTGCCCTGATGGCGTACAACCCAGTTAGGGTCATTTTGTGATGTTCCTTTGGGATCTAGAGGAATCATCTGGAAACGGCGGAAATCAGTCTCACTGATGTCAACATTCTCAGGACAGATGTCATCAATGTCTGGCACACTGTCATGATCAAAGTCATCTTTGCAGGCATCACCTCGACCATCACCTAAGGCCAGAAAAGGCGAGAAACTTGTCTGTGAACTTCTGACTGCTATTAGGGAGCAGATGGAGACCAGAAATT